CTTCGTGACGTCACTGTCGGATGGCCTTCATATTTCGACGGTAACGATTCAACCCGTGATCTCAGGCATGGCAAGCGGATGCGTTCACCACCACACCACTGTGACCACGTTTGTTGAAATATAGAAAACCGATCATTAAGAAAATAATGCCCTAGATATTCTATTTAAATTCACATCTTAACATCTGGCCCTTATTTTAGAAAAGTTGGTGAAGGTGGTAGCAAAGTGAGCTCAGTTTTAATCGATAGTTTGAGGTAGCCTTAGGGAAATTCAGTCACCATTCAGGGATACAACGGAGAGAGTGTTCTGTTGGTGACCGCAAAAATTATCAATATCAAAAAATGTCTACGGTAAATCAACCTGCCCTAAGATCTACGAGAACGAACGAAAACCTTGAGAAAGCTTCCCAAGCGTCCCAGCTTATCCATTCGAAGGGGTGCTAATGTTTTTAATATGTCCAGATTATCGTTGCTTCGCATCCTCCTCCATAATATATAAGCGTACAACCACACCAATAGATATTCTGTTAACGAAAGCATCAACCGATTTTTTTTTTCGGTGAGGTTCGAGAATTGCTCTCTTACGGCACACCCAGAGCTGCTGATTTGATGCGTGACGTGTGGTTCCCTCCCTTACGGAAGTTCCTACACACAGCTGCCCAGGTGCTGGCTTGCTGGGTGTGCTGCCATCAGACCGGTGTCACTTTTGCGTCCCTGTCGTGGCAGCTTTTTTGGGGTGTGCTGGTTCCCCTGAGGGTCTACCTAGCACACTTTTGGTGGTTATTCCCGGCAGCCTCCGATGTAATTTGACCTCCCTTCGGTACTTTGCCAGCTGCGAAGCCCGACCTATTTTGTGGTGGTATGATATTTGTGGTAATAGGGTACATATTTTGTGATGGTATGATGGTGGGGGTGTTTTCCTCCACATCATTCCCACGAGCAGCTAGGGAAGAGTTAGGTCCACCCACACAGAGCCCCGCATGTGTGGGTAAGACTGGTACCATGAGGTGTGCCTGTTGCCTCAAGGTTAGTCGCTATTGGCTGGGCTCCCCCCAGCCTTGCATCTCTTGGCGCGCAGTATACCGTGAGAATTGGGAGGTGTTATAGTGATCTCGTCACGCGATCTGGGCAGTAAAACCAAGATCTCCGCGCCCCCTACAGTATCTATCTCGTGGCCGTAGCTACGAGAGTCGTTGCACTGCAGGCATCAACCGATTTACTCTCTAACATCGTGTTCTCCGATGAGGCTCACTTCCACCTTGACGATCAGGACAATAAACAAAATTGTGACTACTGGTGTGACGACAACCCTAAACAGTCAAATGGAAAACATTCACATAGCGCAAAGGTCGCAGTTTAAAGCGCGATGCCGACATCAGGAATGACCCGCACTTTTGAGATTATCAACAAGGTCGGATCGTTACTGGGAACTCTCAGCGTTATGTCGACATGATGACTCCATGTTTCAAGATTTTGAACAATACACGCAAAACACCTGAACAAGACGCGGTCATTTTTTTGCTGGAAAGTTAATTTCCCGAAAAAGAGTCATTCAGTGGCATCCACAAAGCCGGAATCTGAGTCGCCGTGACTTTTATTACAACGCCTTAATAGTAAAATGTTCTTTAATCACCCTGTATCGCTCTGAATATGTTGGACAGCAAAGAAACGCAAATAATCAAATAACTCCTCAAATTCAGAAGCTTATTTTACACTGGCACCTTGAGGTGTTGCAGGTGTATTCAATGACGACGCTGTACGCAAACGGAACGAGAACCTGATAACCAACTAGTATTAGGAAAATATGCGCCCTATTGGAAACTACCAAGTAGTAATTAGAACTCTTAGGGATAACTTGCTGAAACCTTACCATCTAATGCGAGTTCAGAACATTTTGCCACTGGACTCAGATTACACAACAAATAATCTTAATAAAGACAACAATTTCCGACGTTCGCACAGGACAAACGAGTTGGAACATCGTTGGAAACTGTCAGATTGATCCGCTAAAGCTGGGTTCTTATGAGTCCGGAATGCGGAAGGCGGAAAACCTTCCGACCAATCAGAAGTTTGCCGGTTGCGTTAGCTCCGCTTATCCACAGCAGTTCCCAAATTTTAATATTTTCCCCTTTGAATATAAAACTAACTTAGTTTTATATATTCAAAGATTTTCCCCCATGGCGTTCGGAAGAATGTGAAAACATAGGTTATCTCCAGTGATGCTCTAGTGAAAGTTTATGTTCAGTGGCGTCTATTCAACCGTCATTTTGATATCTTTGTTTCCTTCTTTTTAGGACGCACAAAGACAAAAGCGGATTTAACCTTGTGGTTTCGAACGTTCATTTCATGCGCCTCAAAATACTGGCAACAAAAAATGTAGAAAAAAGAGTTGTATCGTGTCTCGCTTCACTGTCGGCCGAATGGGGAAAAATTAGAATGGAATTAGTAGGATGCGCGCGCACCTTCCGCACTCTGCTTCCGCAAAGCATTCCGGCCCCATGAGAACCAAGCTTTAAGTCTGTGTCCCATGCATCCGTTTATACCATGGTACGATGATACGAAAGTGTTTCTAATGGTTACAGGTCTGTCAGTTCGTACGACGGCGGACGAATTGACAGATATCCAACCAATAGAAACACTTTCGTATCATCGTATAAACGGATGCATGGGACACTTTGATAAAACTATTCGTTTTACTGATGAAGCATGATTTACAAGAAGTGGTTTAACTAATTTTTAAAATAGCGATGTTTATTTTCACCCGCAGAATCCGCATGTGGTCTAAATCGCGTTAGTGCAGGATTTATTTGGAATGTAATATTTAGATAGTTGGACCGACTAATTTACCCATAGGCACATTTTACCATATCGACAGAAGAGAGCGAATTATTTACATTTCTTAGAAAACGAAACCCGGATTATTGCACGATGTTTCATTACTCACCCGTCTAGATTTGTGGTTTATGCACGATGGTGCGTCTCCGTATTTTGCAGTAAACAGCGTTTGGAATCATTTAAACTTTTGAACAATCCCAGATCATCAATACGGCCTACAAAGTCCTGGATAATATTTTTCTCACACTCTGAAGGCGTCCTGGGGGAATATTATGCGGGTTTCAGGAAGTTTAGATCCACCATTGACGAACTTTTCACACTCAGGCAATTACCAGAGAAAGGATGGGAGTACCGTACTCTTCATAATCTATTCATAGATTTTCGGTAAGCATATGGCAGAATTGAAAGATCCCAAGTGTGGAATACAATGGCCGAATTTGCTATCCCAAGAAAACTCATTCCGATGACGAAGGCATGTATGGAAGACGGAAAACCCTGAGTGCCAATAAATAACAGGCTCTCAGATGGTTTTAAGATACGTAGCGGATTGAAACAGGGAGATGCTTTGTCGTCTATACCTACTCTTTAATACCGCCCTAGAAAAAGCTACGAGGTTAGCAGAAATTCAAACAGAACTCTTGACTGCGCGAGGCTGGAAATAATTGTCAGCATATGCAGATGACATTGACATCATTGGAGACTCAACGCCAACAGTAAAAGGTAGCTTTAATGGCATAGAAAAGGCTACAGGAGAAGTAGGACTCAATATTAACGAGAAAAAGACAAATAACATATATGTATGTGCATAAACAAACAGGGACGCAGAGTATATACACTTATAATTTTGCGCGTAATTCACCGCGCTCACTTGATTTAACCACGATGCATTTTTTGTGGGAAGCACTAAAAGTCTCCTATAAAATACATCAATGCAAACCGAATAGGAGCTATGAATGCTTATATAAAATTCCACCAGTTTTAAGAAACAATGAGGATTTGTTAACTGGATTAAGAGTTTATTTAAATTTGTTTATTAAAATCAGCTTTTCACTTTTATCTTGGACTCTATTTATCGCCGTAAGTAAATGTGGCCAAATCGACTTGTTTTGGTACCAGCCACTTGGTAGAGCGTTGTTTAACCTTTTAGAGACACTCTGTATTGTAATGATGAATGGAATAATTTCTTTCCTCTTGTAATCTATGTATTGCGTACAACAATTATTTAGTTGGACTAGTTTTGGCCCAAAAACAAAAAAAATCGGCACAACTGAGAGCAAGGGTTATCTTATGAGATAACAGCGGTATTAGGCTAAGTAGTTCCAAATTCAAACTGCACAGTTTAAAATTTTCACCGACGATGTTTCTTTCAAAATTAAGTATTTTCAAAATTTTCCTGTTTTTTGTGTGTTACTCTGAAATGTGTTTAGGGGCATGTCTGGATAAATTCGCGCTCGCATCAGTAGACGCGCTTGTTCGCTCTATACCCAATAGCAGTGCAATATTAATGGAAAACGTCAACTTTAACAGTTTGGATACTTTCGTTTCTATCGACGTAGTCAGTTCTAATATTAGTCAATTATGCACAGGTGAAGCTAAAATAACACACAAAATAACAATAATGCCGATTATCATATTTACAGGAATGATTAAAGATTTTCCTGTTTTGAAAAAGCTGTCCCTTATCAATGCCAATTTGTCTGAGATTCAGCCAGGAATCTTTGAGAAAGTTCCTAGTTTGGAATATCTGTCGCTGGGAGTTAATCAGTTGGATTACGTACCCAGAGGAGTTTTCGATTCAGTCAAGAGTCTTAAGGTAGTTCACTTATCGTCGATTTACGAGAGAAGGTAAGCAAGTCCACCGACAGTAGTTTTCAGTCATTACCATTTTCACAATTCAGACTGTAAAGGCTTTCACGGCCGGTCAAATCACATTTAGATATATTTTTCGGGCTTTGAAGCAGTGGTCCATGGCAATTTCTTCCTGACGTTTCGTCCACAACTACGGTGGATATTATCAAAGGCGATGAGGCAGTGGGCGAATTGATCTCTCGTGCTTTCCGACTAAGACTGGTTCAACTACTGGATCCCCTGTCGTATTTATGCGGCTCGGCCGTGTCCGTAGAACAATCCAACAAACTTTGAGATCGGCCAAGGACAAACGGGATCCTTTATCAGCACCAGGAGTCTACAGAGTTCCATGCAGTTGTGGCAGAGCATATATCGGCACCACAAAACGTAGTGTAAACACGAGGATCACTGAGTATAAAAGAAGTTGCAGATTAGAACAGACAGAAAAATCAGTAGTAGCGGAGCACGCACTGAGAGAGAGACGGCCACCAAATACGTTTCGATGAAGTGGACATTTTGCACCAATCTCAACGGTATTACCCGAGACTAACCAGAGAGGCCATTTAGATCTTTAAACATGATGACAATTTTAATAGGAAAGAAAAGATAACGGCCCTTAAGCCAGATTAGAAACGCGTTTTGTGGCAAACAGCATGTGCGCCAAAACAATTGAAGCCCCACCCACTCTTCACGCATGCGCTCAAACGGCTGGGCCGCATAAATATGACAGGGGATCCAGTAGTTGAACCAGTCTTAGTCGGAAAGGACGGGGGACTTCACCCACTGCCTCATCGGTTTTGATAATGTCCACCGCAGTTGTGGACGAAACGTCAGAAAGAAATTCCCATGGACCGCGGCTTCAAAGCCCGAAAAACATTTCTAAATGTAATTTTCACAATTGATTTTATAATACAAAAAATAGCACTGAACAGCACATAAAATGCATATAGGCATTACAGAGAAAAAATGTAAACTATTGGGCTTGATTACCTTCTGTTGTATACCGACGATATAATTAATAATTGCCGGCTATAGTTTTTGGGATTATTTATTAATAAGTCGTTAACTACACTTATCGAAGCAAACACTAAAACGGTCGTAATAAAATGTAGTTGTACAAAATACCTTGCTTGATCTGTTGATTGTAGTGAATAATAAATAGCCAAACAGGTAGATACATAAAACCAATGCTAAAACATCAAAATGATCAAAAATAGGGTACCAAGTTTTTATTTTAACAATGCAACAATAGTTCTAGGTAGGAGAGCATGGGTAATAAGACAATAAGACACATATTTTTAGGAGCTTATTACTCTGCAAATAAGGGGCTGTGCTTAAATTACGTAAAACTATTAGTGGGGAGAGGGTCATATGTTTGCTTACCGTAGTTTCCGGAAGATTCTTTATGAATTCTTCTTACTAGAAATATAAAAAAAACAGCAATTTGATTATGCTTAAACAAAGTTGAACTCTCCATCCACTAATCTCAATAAAAGTAAAAAAAAGTAAGTTCATATTAAAGCTGAGCGAAAATAGGAATTATTATGTATTATGCAAGATGAAACTGCACGCACTGAAGATGCTGAATGGAAACCAAAAAGTCCCTATTTGATATTCGGAACAATAACGTTAGGTATTGATGATATAGTTCATAATACAACTGAAGAAAGCTCTTTATCATGGCCTGTGATAAAATCACGTTCCCTTTGTTTGAAAATTAAAGTTATTAATTTATTTTTATTTTTCCTGCGGTTTTTGTCTCTTGTTTCCATGCTTCAGCCTTCGTATAGCCTATTATTTCTTCTGGAAATCTGAATGTTTGAATAAATTGTTTTCCTAGTTGATTTTGTGGTGCATATTTTTAATTGCATGCACTTGAGTCTTACTGAGCTTCTGTGAAAAGTCCTGAAGAGTTTGCGTTATCTCACGAGCTTGATGGTCTTGAATCTTGTAAGAAAGTATGATTATTGCACGGTAATTAGGTTTTTCTTGTAATTCTAGGTAATGTTCACACAAAAACTGTATAAAAATGATATAAAAATATAGGTATAACACAATTTATATATGGGAAACTGTGAGACAAGCATATCTTGTCTTACCCACGGCCGAATATCTCAGTGTTACCCAAACGACATTAACATGAAAACATCTAATTTTTTTAATCTAAATCGATCAGCCTTGTCTACCGATTCGTTGGCCGCCATTGAAATCCTGAATTATAGCTGGGGATGAAGTTACCAAGGGATGAGTTAATTTTTACGATATTTTCTTGAGAGAAATGGATGAGGGTAATTGCGTTTTGGTGGTGTTTTTGGAATTCAGACGAGCGTTGTTGCGATTGTTAACAGAAATATTTTGTTGTAAAAATTAAGCAGAATTGGAAGTTTTAAAGTGGTTTGAATCTTATTTGGATACCAGGCGGCAGATGGTTAAGTTTGGGAATAGTATGTCGAAACCCATGGGTGTGCAGCATGGGGTACTGCAGGGAACTGTGTTGGGTCCTTTGCTGTTCCTCATATACATAAATGACATAGTTGGGGTTGTGGATGGATGTAAAATGGAAGTGTTTACATTATGATATATGTAGCGGGGAAAGACCTAATACAAATGCAACAGATTGTCAATGAAAATTTGAAAGGCTTATTTGAGTGGCCCTGTGTAGATAAACTGAGTTTAAATGCTTTAAAATCAAGGTTCTGTGTATTTGGGAAAAAACATAAGTTAAATAGTGTTAATCTGGAAAGCATAGATTAGTATAGACAATAATGAGGGCAAACAAGTGAGGGAGATCAGGTATTTGGGAGTGCTATTTGACGCAAGTTTGAGTTTATTTCCTCATGCTGACTATATTACGAGAAAGTTCTCTAGGAAGGTTGGATTGATTGCAAGAGCGGGAGGTAGTTTGTCAATGGATACTACATTAATGTTACATAAGAGCATAGCTGCTCCACAGCTGGAGTATTGTTCTGCCTTATTGTATGGCCTACCGGGTTATAAGATTAAACAACTGCAAATTGTATAGAATAGAGCATTAAGAACTATTTTAAGATACGGTAAATACACACTTATTGCTACAATGCATAATGCCTTAAACGTTCTGTCTGTTAAGCAGAAATTGTGTTTAATGTTCATGTATTGTTGTTTAAGGTAAAAAGTGAAATGTTACCAGAATACATTTGTAATAGAATTAAGTTTTTTGGGGATATTTATTCTTATAATACTAGACAGAAAGATGTAATAGAAGTCAAATGCTCAACTCAATAATGTGTAAGGGCTTGTTAGATTATAATGTGTTGCCTAATCGCATAAAGCATTGCGAGAGTTTTAGTGGTTTTAAAAAGTTGTTGAGAGCATATTTATTATCTTCGACGTTTGAATGATTTTTTTATTACATATTTTTTGGGTGCTTTTTGGAATTTGTTATTAATACACCATGTTAGATTGTTAAATTGATTGTTTACATTTATAGCAAATATGCTAAATAAAGACTATCATTATTATGAGTGCTATCACCAAAAAATGAATGGTTTTAGGGAAAAAATATGTTAAGTTTATGCGAGACTTTTGAATAACCCATAAGTAAGTACATATAACGGTCTAAAATAATTAACTTTTGAAATGAACAATTCAAATCTCAAAAACTACTACCCAGGCAATCTACTGAATATAAACTAAAAATCGTCTAATTCATGCGGATATGTTTAATTAATGAGGATAATATTTTCTCATTTATAAACTGTGGCAAAACATTTTCATTTCAGGTGATCTATCTGACAAGCAACCGAATTCGATCTATTGAAGACGGTGCTTTTGCCCTGATGCCCCTTTTGGAAAAAGTATATTTAGCGCACAACCAAATTGCCCAATTAACTGGCAATATTTTCTTCGGCAGCACTCGACTATCTTTAGTCGACTTAAGTTTCAACAAATTGGTCGCTATCGAAGAGAGCAACTTCGAAGATTTGAAATTGCGAGAAGGGTCTCCGAAGCATCCGATAAAAATTCTATTACAACGCAATCAAATCGAGAATGTAGCCAGAGAAACTTTCCTAGGCTTACGGCCCGTCTTACTTCATCTAGAATATAATCAAATATCACGAATTTCGCAAATAGTTTCGGGTGTTCCCAATGGAAGCAAGGTGTTTGTGGACGGGAATCGTATCGAGTGCATACCTGACGATGTTTTGGAACGTGTTGAAGATGGTCTGTTGCAGCTTTGGGCCCAAGCTAATCCATTGACATGCGAGTGCCTGAAACGAGTCCAGGAGCTCGTAAATAATGACATTAAGGGGCAACTGAACGTGTCCACTACACTTCCATGTGACTTGTTTTCCAGCTTTTTTTAGTTGCTCTTTGGATTTCTTCCTATCTTTTCTACTTTTATAGAGTATGCCCTTTATGGATGTTTCCAAATAAATATTTTATTTATATTGTTAGTACTAGAGGGGAACTTGTTTGATTTCGTACCCAAGTAGTTGTAGCAACAAGTCCAAATTCGGCCATTTTTAGTTTAATACGGCAATATGTCCAAAATTAAGTAGTCAATCTTTTGCATATAGCAACAACTCAAAATGTTTGGACTTGTCAACTTTAAATGAGATATTTCAATTTCGCTTTAAGCTGAATTTATAATTATTCGAGTTTAACGAAGCAACAATTAGACATGTTGCTCTTTGATTTAAATCTAGGGGAGAGTGTTATACCTTGGGACATTTTTCGGTTTTTATTTTTTATTGTCAATATTTTTTTTAATACCTCTACATCTAATCCGAACGGGCACATCTAGTGCTATTTTAGCAATTTAGGGTAAAATTGGTAAAAAAGTAATGTTATGTTATTAACTAAAGATTTGAAAAAATCTGTTAAATTGCTAATTTTTCCAAGGTACAACTGTGCTTTGTACCTTGGGACAGGTATAATTGTAATAAACGACGTGTAGCTACTTAATAACTTTGCCATCTATGATGTTATTGAAAACCAATGTTACTGTTTTACATGGCATCAAGGCATAGGCAAACGTGGGGCCAATGAGATTGGCAGCTGTTTGTACGTTTTTCTAAACACAACGAGTAAAGACTTCACATTTTACTCTGACAATTGCGCTGGACAACATAAAAATAAATTTGTTATCTCTGTGTTATTGCATTGCGTAAATACTATTGAATCCATTGACGAAATCACATACAAAGTTTTAGTTGTTGGTCATACACAGAACGAAGGAGATGCAATGAACCCCTTAATCGAACGAGAAAAAAAGCCTCACGATGCCTTAAAAGTGGGCCTATCTACACTCTCGAGCAACTCATTCCAATAATAAGGCTTGCTAAGAAGACTGACAAGACTTATAGATGCATCGAAATGAATTACAACTCTACTATTTAGTTATTTAGTATTTACTAAATACTACTTTTTTGATATATAGTCTCTGCAAGTAGCAATAGGCAAAAAGTTTAATAAAGACACCAACGGTGTAAATATGCAGTGGACTGAAATTTGTGCTAATAGTAATGAAGAGTAAACCATTTACAGTTTTTTATAAAAAATCATTGTTAGAAAATTAATTTAGTGAAATTGATGTCCGCCACAATCTTCCATCGTCCATAAAAAAAGGATTTGGTGGATTTGTGTAACAGTAATGCAATTCTCAGTCAATACTCGACTTTTTATAAAGAGCTACCCTGGTACGTTGACAACAGCTACAGCAGATAATAGTGATTCCGATTAGAAGTGTGTAGTTTAGGTTAGATAGTTTGCAGGATGAATGTGAACAGACTAGGCTTATTTGCCGCGTATAATTATAAGTTAAAAGTTTTCCATAACAAAAAAAATATATAAAAAAGCAATAAATCTGTATCTTACTGATTAAAAGACGGACATCTTAACATAAGTGAAACAAAGTGGATCTTCATACGGCAACAAGTCACAAAATCATTACTAACGTCTTTAAAATTATTACTACAAGTACTTTTTGTGACTTATGATTGTTATGAGAAGGTCTGCTAACAACAATTGCAGAACAAATAAATGAATCAGACTTTAGTCTGTTGTTTGATACAATTTCAAAAAACCAGTAATTTTTAACATTGAATTTCTCAAAACAATGATTTTTCAGTTGTTGCTGTATGGAACTGAACCATCGATATGTTGAGTCAAATTATATTCTTTTAGTCATCATGTTGAATGAAAATACAGGGCGATTCAAAATTGTCGTAATTCATTTTAAGTGGTTAAAGAGGTTCCCTTGAAGAGTACGAACAATATAATTTTTCGTTCTAAAATTTCTAGGATACATTAACAGTTAAAAATTTAATGTCACCTTTGTTATTAAGTATTATTTTGAAATGGCCCCATGTTTGATTGATTGGTAGCCCATTGGAATATTTAAGCATTCCAAAAGAAAAATGACCATTTTTGCTTCAAACAATGAACATTTTTGACAATAAAAGAATACTCTTCTACAATTTTTTGATGAAAATTCACATCATCCTTTGAGTAAGTAAAATAGTAGATACATCATATTTATATTATTTTCATCGGGTTTTAAATCAAATTTTTTTTAAATGTTTCTGGGAATACTGCTTGCAACTAATTTTCCATGGTTTTTTCGCACTGCAACTATCCATATTATGTTAAAAAAAATTTTTGCGTTTGCGCCCAGTTTGACGAAAAACGAGTAAAATTTGCTTTAGTCCACTAAAAAGCTTTTTTGTCGTTATGTTTTTAACAATTTTAGTTAAAGCTGAAATACAATATTTAAGCAAAATAACTCTTAAAGGTAAAATATTTTTTGTTTTAAAATTCTTGTCTCCTGAAAATTTTACCTTCTGGACAAAATAGTCATTCATTGACACAAACCGGTTTCAGGCAAAAATAACAAAGGTCGGTTTTTCTCATTCTTGTACCGTCGTTCGGGGTGAAGTCAAACGATTTTTTCAGTTTTATTATGTAGTCTCCGTGTCTCCTTTGTCGGATTCAATAATAAAACAAATTACATTTTCGTTCCTCGGTAATTTTTTTTAGATAAGGATGTCCGCCTTCACTCTTATGTGTGTGGTCTTAGCACCAAGTAAGAGGCGCATTCTTATTCTTATTAAGTTTCTCTCCTTCCAGCAAAATTAGGCACTGTCCGCGATGTTTTTTCGTTTTTATTTCTTTTTCATTCGCGTGTAAGGTGGATTTTGAAATTTTATAATTTTCTGCAGCTTCTCCGCAGTCTTAAACTGCCTTGGGTGGCCTAGAGACGTTTTGGTCATTGAAGATTTCAAAGTTAAACCGATTTTAGTTTTATACTGCCTAACCATGGTGTCCGCCTTCACCTCTATAAAATAACTTTTTTTTACTAAAACGCAATTATTTAAGACAAAAAAATATTTTTAAATGAAATTGCCATGGGTTTACTAATAATAGAGCACATCAGAAAAAATAAGTAATTCGGATTTTTATTTTTAGGATTCTCTTGTGTGCAACAGACTTTTATAGCGTTCCAATTCCAGAAACAAAATGAAATTCATAAAATTCTCACCTTGTTTCGCTCCGAATTTATCCAGCGAAAATGTATACTACTAATGACTCTAAGAACTTTTTTACGTGGTAGATCAAATGATTTTGACGAATTATTAGATAAAAAGTCACAATAACGGTCTGTCCGAGTTCGCCCCTACAGTTCGACTTCACCCCGAATGACCGTCACCATATTTTAATCAATAGAACTAATAGATTTATATGCTTAACTCAAAAATTAATTTAAAAAATAGGCGTTTCTATTTTGAACTAATAAGCTGAAGGCCGTGAGTAAATTTTGTGCCATCGTCCGCTCCAACGTCTCATAAAAAATTATTTAGAGATCATTTTTTTTAACAACAAATGGGAATGGACAAACAGTTACTAATATTTTAATGAATAATAAGTTATTATTAATTAAAAACAGTACTCATAAAGTGTACAAAGCCATTAAAAAAAGTTATAGTACGATTTTTTGAAGCAAAACTAAATTAATTATAGAAAATTTAAAAAATGCAAAAATTATCGGGTTTTGGCGTTTCTTGAGTCAACAAATCAACGGATTTTAATTTAGTTAGTCTTATATTGTAGGTATTTTTAATACTTAAAAAAAGTGTTAAACTTTTTGCAATAGCATCACCGGTTTAAAACTTATGCTCAAAAAACGGTTTTTCGCACTTTCTTTAATTATTTAAACAATGTTACATAGGCCGAAATTGCGAGCAGACTATTGTCCCAATATTCGAACATCCTTCTGAACAACTTCCAATAATCTTTTACCTTCATCTATTTAGTACCTGAAACAGGCCTTTTAAAGTCTAATCTGACTGGACTAATAATTAATTACACCATAGTGTACATATATGGTTCTTAGTTTTATCAAAAATTACTATTATTATATATAATAATGCCTAACTAGTTGACTTTCAAATTTGCGAACTCGTTTCAAAACCACATTTATGCGCATTTGCAAAAAACTCTGAATTAGTAGGTCGCAAAAATTGATTAGAATGTAGATTACTTCCGATCATGATTAAGAAGAAGTACGCACTTGCTTGTTTCACTTGCATTTCAGTGCACCAGAGTAGGTCAAATCCTAGTGGCTAATGCAGTTCTTGTTTAGTTGGTGCACCGGAAATGAATATCGCAACCATTTATTATCCTGGCGATAAATATTAAACCAAACAAGATGAAGCAATTGTATTTGATTTTGGGGATAATTGGAGGTCTCTTCTTGRGCCAAGGTAAGCAATTGTAAAAGWWTAAYAAGTTTAYWTTGTGTTAAAAAAATCTTCACGCTACTAGTCAAAAAACGTATTTTTTTYGAGTGGGAGCCCAACTAGGAGCTCTTTTTGACCTTAGGTATTGGAGATGTGTACTAAAGAAGACTCATTCTTGCCCTGACAATGATATTAAATATTACCTCTATACCCCGTAAGTTTTGCGGATCAATTAATAATAAAGTAGAAGAGAAAAATTTTATATTTGTTTAGAGAGAGTGGCCGAAACAGAATTAGGATTGATATCAGGAACCGACTGTCCCTAAAATTGTCCGGATTTGACCCCGAGAAGCAAAATGTCTTTATTGTACATGGATTCAATGGAACGGAAAGTAAGACGCCCATGACCATTTTGAGAAATGGTAAGTTCACAAATTGCTTTAAAAACATATTTTGTCTGTTTCACTCTTAGAAGCGTTGGTCGGTGTGATGAGTTATAGAGCTTGTTTTCAAGATCACCTATTATCATGGTATATACAGGGTGTCCCACCACCATATAACGTAATTCAAAATTGGCGTCATTCCTCTGGAGGCGTTTTAATGAGTACCTACAGAAAAAATAGTAACAAAAATAATTGTTATTTAAAACTTAATAAATTAGATCAGAAGGATGGCAACAATGTTTTTTAAGATAATCTGCCTAATTAACATGAAGTAAATACCTGTTGCTTGTTTATTACTAAAGATTGCAGTAACCAAAAGTAAACACAAAACAAAGAAAGTGAAATTACAAAGAAACATTTTGAGATTAGGATAACGTTGTCATTTTGCCGTCAGTCCTGCCACATTTTTGGGGCAAATGAGTGATATAGAAATACGTCAAAGCTGTCAACAAATTTTTTTCTTCTATGTTTTTCTCGTACTCTCCAAGTGGGCCCCTATAACCCCTTAAAAGGAATGACGCCAATTTTTAACCACCCTATATCATTAGGAGAAATTTAAAAAATGGACAGTAAACTAAAGTCCTTGGAGACAAGCGACATAAAATATGTTAAGATGGCAACACAATTTCGGATTTTTAAATTGAACACCCTGTATATTATTACATTTTTCAATTCTACTCCAAATTCCAAGTTTTGCATATGTTTCAAACTTTTTATGTAAAATTTGACTTGCAGGCACTAGAGTAATTATTAGTTTTTGCTTTAAGGAAATATCTATGTGTTATCTATTGAATTTGAGTTACATTCCTTGTTGTAAAGAATTTATTTTAATGGAAAAAAAATGTTTCGGCCGGCTTTCTCAATTCATTTTAAAACTTAATTTTTTAACACTTTGTGTTAATCGTTATCAAAATTTTATCAAATCTCTATTAAAGTAAGTCAATTTCAATATGTTTAAAACGTGTGCGTCTTGCGCAATATACATGAAATATATTTAAAATATGGAGTAAAATTTAAAAATATAATAATATATAGGGTATATTCCATTTAAAATAATCAAATTGATACCTACTTCCAATGCAACCGGAAGACCAGAATTTGTTCTTATGTACGACTCATATTTGACGAGGCAACCGAGTTCATCCGCTTTGGGCAAGTGGTAAATTCTTTTAGTGTCTCGGTACAAAAACTTATAAAAGTTTTTATTTGATCACTGGAATCAACCGATTTTTTAAATTAATTTGTAACATTAACAATTTTAATAAAACTGTGAATAAAATACCACGCGTAACCTAAGAACTGGCCTTTTTTCGTCCAATATCTGAGAAACACAATTCGGACGAAAACACTTCTAAAAGACGACCGGCCAAATACTTTGACCATATCGTCCATTTTTTGGACGAACTGTCACAGTTAATAGCAAAGAAGACATTTTTTTACTTACGGGACACCCTGTATATACAATATTTGTTTCTAATCGAAATCTTTCGACCACCTTGGTCTTTCTGCTCTTGCAGTTATCTATTTTTATTATTTTTATCATCTCTATATCGTTATATTCCTTTTACTTTTACAATTTAATTGGAATTTAATTATAATGTTCTTGGTTGCCTTCTTAAAATTAAATGAAGCGAACAAACTGTGCATTAGAAGTTTTCCAACTTGCAGTTATTTTAGAACAAATTTTGTTTCCGGTCATAATAAGTCGAGTCGAAACCATGTAAAATAGATTTAGCCCTCTAGCTATACAAGGTGTACCAACCCTCACCTAACTTTCTTATTTTAAAGGCAAACCCCTAATTTCTTTAGCATGGTTGGATGGGCCTTCCATTTGCCATTTTGAGCCACCCTAGTTTTGTTAACTTATCTCCTATACTTTTTGATTTTTATCAATTGTTTAAGAAAAATGCCATTACCGATATTTACGGAACAAGCTAAATATAACGAACCGTTTTAAACTCAAAACCCAAATTTTATAAATAACTAGCTGAAAAAAATGTCTAAAAACAGTTTTTTACACCTACTTGGCATCTACTAACTTTTTTGGTTCTGTTTAGTTTGCTTTCTAATTGTCTGATCATAGCACAATTTTTAAACTGGATCAAAAAATTTCTTGACATTTAAAGAAAAATTAATTTTTTACATCAAAATCATGAAATACGTGCATTGAAAAAAGCGGTCAATGAAGTCAAAGTTTAGATACGTATTATAGATAAGCTGCTGATGGAAGAAGAATCAAATTTACAGCTGTTCTATGTCGAGCACTAAAGATTTCAAGTTAAAATACAACAAAAGTCGCTAAATATTAATAAACATCACGCACCAAAAAAATCGATATCGAAATTTAGAAGAAAATGTAGTATGAAATTAAATTGTAACGGTAGAAAAACCGATTAAAAAGAAGACCAGACAATATGTTGATATTGTATAAATATATACAATATATAAATGTGATTAAACAATAAAAAACTAGACTAAACAGGACAAACAAAGTTAATAAGTGCCATTATTATCACATATCAATTAGGTCTGGGTAACACTGCGTTAAGTTGCGCGTTCAAGTTGTTGCCGCCCTTTGAGTTAATGAGTTTTAACTCATCGCTGAATGAGTTATAACTCGTTTACCGATGACCGAGACTGGAATTTTAACATTTAAAAAAAGTCATCAATATTTTTTATGACGAACGTTTCACCAGTAACGGAACTTAGCGCCTGTGCGTTGGGTTGGCGCACTAAGTCATTCGCGCAGCACTGCGCTAACTCCAAAAAATTTACTGGGATGCTTTTTCGGGCGAAACGATTACTTGAAAATATTTGGTTTAAACCGGAAATTTTGAAAGAACTTAAAAATTCTTCAGGGCGATGAGGGTGACGAGATTTCTAAATAGTTGATTATATGATTTTGCCTTTTGCGTTTTTAGGGAAATTTTTTCGAAGAAAAAACAATAGAACTTTAGTTCGTGTTTGTCCCAAATTTAAATGTTAAACGGGTATTCGAAAAAGAAGATAAAGAAGACCAAACCATAAAGACGACGAGTTTTCTTGTAAAATCGATCTCTTAATTTTTAAGACTCCAGAATTTTACAATAAAACGTGTTTAGAGAGTTTTATTTAGAAGTATTGACCTAAAAGTGAAGAAACGGGAATTAAAAAAATCAAATTATTCACAGCAGCAAAGGTGACAAGTTTTCGAAATCATTGATTATAAACTTTCGCTTGTTCTGTTCGGGAAAATATTTTTGCGAAAAAATCCAGAAAAAATATTATGGTTCGAGAAGAAATTTTACAAAGCTTTCGCTAAACAAGTCAATAAAATTATGTGGTTTTTGTGCCAATATCGAAGATTAAAATCGTTTTCTAAAATTCCCTGCAAAGCGAAGCATGAGGCGAATTTTCTAACAAAATAAATTTTGTAATTTTTGACTGAAAAGACCCCATCCCATGATTGTCAGGAAAGAAGAGAAACATCACAAAATAATAATTTTTCGCGCTCTTGGTTAAAACCTTTTATTTTTGGACTCGGTTTTTGAGGAAAACCTATAATTGTCGGAAAAAAACAGAAGAAATTTATTTTAGTTTATGTCCCGATTTCGACACTGAAAAAAGTTTTGGTAACATTACGACAAAGCTATAAATCTATCTTGTAATTTTTCGCGTAAGACTTCCAGATTGTCAGTATTTTTAAGTAAAACTCTTTAAAATAGAGCGTTTTTGAGTAGGAAGCAAAGCATGAAGAACATTCAGTCAAAACTAAAAATCGAGTTTTTTTTTWATCAAATTCTACACTCTTCCGGGGGATGRKGGTGACAAGTTTTTCAAATGATTTATTATAAACTTTCGCTTATTTTGTTCGTTTTTTTTTKATAMAAAATTGTTAGAATTTTGGGACCAAATTCGAAGSTGTGAACGGACTTTAAAACTTTTTACAAAGCGAGGAAAGAGGCTAAGAAGATAAGTAACTTRTAACTCCAATAATCTAWAAMCAACTAAAAAAAAGGTCATCAAGATTTTCCCRGCAACGGAACCGAGTTACTGCGCCRGCGCGTTGGGTCGGCGCACCAAGTCATTTGCGCAGCATTGCGCCAACTCCTAAAAATAAACTGAGTYACGCAGGCCTAATATCAATGTTTTTAGGATGCTGCTGATTGCTGCTTTGTAGGTTCTGGATTGAACTTTTCCTATATGTTGATAAATTCCTATATGTTTATTGCTCCATACGAGGTACTCCATGCTGGTACGGTTAAGACATGCGGCTGTATAATTTTATTGTCTACTTCTTGTTTGCAGCTGAGGGGTGTTTAATATGTATAATAAATATTGAAAATAATTATCATGTTATCTTAACTCCCTTCGACGTGAGTTTTTAAATAATTATTGTTGTTGTTTTTACGTAAGTAGATAAGCCGTATATGTATCTTTCAGTACGAGGGGTACTCAGCGAGCTATTGATAGATCAGTAAAAAGTAACTCATATCATACTTTCATGATACATTCTCCTGGCCCCAGAAAAAAATGCGAAACTAAAATATTGAATTCAAGTTATTTGTGAATTTTTATAATAACTTTTTTATATTTCCTAACAAATAGTACAACTTATACATTGTAGTTGATCAGAAAATGAAATTGAATTAAAAATGTATCTTGAAAAAGTGTGAAACAATCGATTTTTAGGTACCCGCATATACGGAATGCTACTATTATATTTGAGCTTGCAAATTGTTTTTTTCATGTTGCCTATGTCTCGAAATCTTAATAGGTGACTTAAAAAGATACAAATGGTTTTGAACATATAATTTATCTACTTATCTACCCATACCTCACTTGAATCCACCTTATATATAGTGAAACACAGTGTATAAACATAGTATACATTTCACACTTCTTTCCCTTTAGACTATCCCCATGACGAAAAATAGATCTTATATACAGAAAAGTTGGCCACCCCTAATCCACAGAAACAAAATTAATAAATATCTCTACTTTTTTCACACCCTTAAAGATGGACAATAAATAACGTTAAAACATAACGTCCTATTGTCGTTTACATACTATATCTCAATTCTTTCCAGCTTACTTGTACAGATCAGACTACAACATTTTCACGATTGACTGGAAGGATCTCACCAGCTTTCCATGTTATTTATCGTCATTGTCCAATACGCAAGTAGTTTCTCAATGTGCTGCCAAGTTGTATGCATTCGTAATGGATCACGGAGGAAAGGCGGAAAAAACAACTTGCGTTGGGCATTCTCTAGGAGCTCATATTTGCGGCATGATTAGCAACCACTTGAGTATTAAACAGCATAAGATTGTAGGTGAGTTGAAGCATTCAAGAAAAGCTAAATGAAAAGTTTTTCACACCCTTTAAAATGAATTTTAGTTTTTCGCAAATTTGGCATTTATTATTTTCGCCAGTTTATTTTATAACTATGTGTTTACTAACTGACTTGTTCTTAACACACTTTCACTGAGCTCGCACTTACACAGGGTGGTTATTAAATACGTCATTATTATTTGTCTTCCAAGCGGCTTTTCTCATGTTTTGCGGCATTTGAAACACTAATTTAATGTACTCTTTCATTTTTCTGTTCACTTGCTACCCAGCAAACACATCTCGGTCCTTGAGATGTCCCACGGACGGCATTACAGGATATAGGCCTAAGTCCCTCGGACGTCTCCATATATACGTGGGACGTCAATGGGACATACTTTTGGGACTGTTCGGGTCATGTTCGGTTTGATTCTCTCCCCACCCTTTATTTGACAAGTTAGGAAAAAAGTTCGTAAGGAAAGTAGTACGGTTTTTTATGATCTTTTGACTAAACTTACTAGATGTTTTACTTATAGGGACAATTTCTGTATAAAATCGACTTTTTAAAATACCCTTTGCAATTGCGCCATCTAGTGGTCATCTGAGAAATTTCAAAATTATTTCCAGAAAATTCTTTTCCTCAAGATTGTTATCAAATTTTTCTTCCTATCACTCTACAACACATCCTTATTGCCACACCCTGTATACGTCCTGTTCATGATGTCCCTGGGAGCAGAAAATATAACGTTTCTGGGACGACTCGCATTGGGATCTGCATGAGAATATGTGTGATACAAGGGACGTCCTAGGGACATGCTACCAAGGATTATCCCAGGCGGAATAATGGGGATCAATTGAAAACGTCCCACTGACCATTTGTGTTTGCTGGGTATCGACAGTCACAAAAATGATGTTTGTCTGCTTATTTATTTAGATTCTGATTGTACAAACGGTAAAACATCTAGTTCGACTCACTGTCCTTAAAATTACACTCATCCAATTCCACAAGTTCAATTAATTTTATTTCTGATATTGCTTCCCAGCAAACACAAATGGTCCGTGGGACGTTCTATTTTGATCCCCGTTATTCCGCATGGGATGATCCTTGGTAGGATGTCCCTAGGACGTGTCATGTATCCCATCCCATGCTAGTCGCCCCAGAAACGTTATATTTTTTGCGCCCAGGAACGTAATGAACAGGACGTATACAGGGTGGTACGTAGTTTCAGATTGTTAACACCCTGTACAATGTATTGATATTTTGTTTCAATACAATTCTCAACGGATCTGTGTTGATTGGAAAGATGTATTTTTTTGTATCTTTAACTGCTATTTTTTGCTTCTACAATTAACTTTTACATACCATGTTTTTAAGCAAAATTTTACTAAAATGGCGATAATCTGCCAACGTCGCAAATAAATGGCAAAAGTCGCAGAAACAGGTAGTTCTATTTTAAAAAATACACTTTGATCTTGTCTCGCTTTTCTAAGGCATTCTATATCATATAAAATATTCTTAAAATGTGCGCATTTTGTGCGTCCACAACTTTTATATGAAACTATTTTTCAAAAGTTCAACACCAACGGAAATAATGGACTCTCTCGCACTAAAAAAACACCCTGTATTTTACCTTATTTTTAATAAGCGTCCGATATTTCACAGGGAAATTCTTCAGGTATTTTAAAGAGTACACTTATAAAGTGTACTTATAAAGTACACTTATAAAGTGTACAAAAAGCTTCAAAAAAGTTATAGTACGCTTTTTTTGAAGCAAAAGTGAATTTTGATTTACAAATCGATCGACAAAAGATGATTTTTCGTTTTTTTGAGTAAACGAGTGAACGGGTTTTAATTTATCTCATATTGTATTTATTTTTAATACTTGAAAAAAGCATTAAACTCTTTTCAGTAGCATTAAAGGTTCAAAAGTTATGCGCAAAAAACGGATTTTCGAACTTTCTTTAATTATTTAAACAACCACAGCCAAAATTGCGCTCAAACTATTGCCCCAATATTCTGACATCCTTCCGAACAACTTCCAATAATCTTTTATCTTCATCTATTTAGTTCCCGAAGCAGACTTTTTAAAGTCTAATCTGACTGTACTATATATTTCAGGCCTAGATCCTGCGAGACCTCTTATAGACCAATACGCGCAAAAATACTTCAGATTGACTAAAGATGATGCTTATCACGTGCAAATCATTCACACGAATTCGGGAATGTTGGGAGAAATCAATCAAGTGGGTCACATTGATTTTTGCGTCAACGGGGGAATGATGCAGCCTGGTTGCAAAGGAAATGCTCTACGTGAGTACAAAAACAACCATTAAAATTTCATTTTTACCGAGTAAAATCGAATCGAGTTTGTTAGTTTGCATTTTTTTAATTTCAAGAAAATTTTGCAGGAGTTGCCCGTTGCAGTCACTTCCAATCAGCGTGTTATTTTGCAAAATCTGTGAAATACCCAGACTCTATTATCGGAAGACCGTGCAAAGCTACTTGTCCGAAAAGAGGTCGTGATTGGGGCTTTTTTCCCGGTAATTCTATTCCAATGGGTCTGGCTACACCGTATGGGTATGCATTGTAGTTAGAACATGTAAAAAGTAAATTAACTGTTTGTCTTCAAGGGTTTATGGCACTTACTGCGTCAGCACCGATACGAAGAAAGACTGTCCTTTCGATTAAAATCCTTAAAAACATTTCATATTTGAAATTAATTCGCTAAACTACAGAAAGAACAACTATTAAACTAAAGAACAATACAGAAAACTATTTGCCATGGGAAAAAGCTTTTTTTGGAAAAGCAACTGACTTTCGCACTAAGTTGCATTTAAAAAAATCAATACTAGAGAGAAAACGGTCACCATAAGTTACAGTAGGTAATAAATTGTACTGTGTTACGCAAAAACATGTATGCAGATGTGATGAGAGAAAATCTATGTTAGCAGCTGGTAGAATGATAAAATAAAGGGATTTTGCTCCAATAAATCTAGATTCGTAAAAATACTAGTTTTTGTTAACGACCCAACAATCTAAAGCTTTTTATTTAGATACTTCCATATACAACAACGCAACGTACGCGGCCAAAACATGCCTCCTCAATTCTCTATCGGGTTTTTCTCTTGCTTCTTTGAAGTCAGTCCGTAAAAGGCAACGGTTATTCCAAGTAATTTTACGCCAACTGGGCCGAACAAACAAAATCGTATAACACAATAGGGTATTTCCATTGAAAACACGAAATTTACTTTTTATTGCAAACATACTAGAATTCAAGCTTTGTTGCATATAAATACACTACAAGAAAAAGAAATACCGAAAAAAATTAATTTGCTATTTAATGGGCTTTCAAATCTGATCAAAGTGACGTCATGCGAAAACGGTATGTGATTGATCTGACGTCACAGTACACGATAAGCCTGCACGTAGCCCGTGTGTGCTTTTAAATGGTATGAACTTCTACAATACTTCTTACAATTTGTTGGAAAATGCTTGAAATACCATTGGAAATCTGGAGATTTATCTTATTTTCCTAATCTAGATCTGATATGAGCAGCTGAAACAAGAAGGTGATATTTGTATATAATTTGACTATAAGGTTCGTTCGAAGAATTATTCCATTGTCATGATGGTGAACGATAAAAAGAAACGAATAATGAAAGCAGAGTGTCACGACTGTGCGGCATCACAAAATAAAAAGTAAAAAGGAGGTATCGCTTTTTTGTGGTTTGTATCGGGTCATTGGTTATAATTTATAACCACATAAATAAAAAATGAACAATATAGAGCGTACATTAAAAGTATGTTACTTATTTTTGGATAAGCAAGTTTAAAACGGGTATACATAAAAATAAATTACCCTTGATTAGCTAAAAATTTAGTATACAACTGTTTGTTCTCAGATTGAATAAAAGGCTGCTACTAAAAATTGCCCATTAAAGTTGATTTGAACAAAAAAATAAACGCCGGCAGCACGCGAACCAAATGCAACCGATATCAAAGTCGTGTGTAGTAGTGACGTCAGCCGCCTAGCAAGTGCGACTGCGTCGTTTTGGCGCGCTAAATAGAAATTCAAATTTAGATTGCTTATAATTTCTTTGTAACGGATAGTTGGCCATAAATGAACAAAAAATCTGCAATTTATTGCAGTGCCTATTATAGTGGTTAGAATATCAAATGGCCCACTATAAAAATCTCAGTTTACGACAATTTTATGCATCCAATTTGAGTTCACACACCATCACTAGAGGTTTCAATGTGAAACATTTCGAAAACGGTGAGATATATCGACATGAAACAAGTACACATTTTTTGATTCGGAAATATCGGACAACGAGATACTGCCAAAAACAGCGATATTTTAAAACCCAAAAACCTTCTGGTACTTTAAATGGCTGCATATTTAAATGGCAGCTAGCGCCCTCTAGGCTAGATAATAAGAAATTTGAATTTGTTGTTCAAAAAACTCCCAAATACACATTTTTAGGGTCATAGCAGAACCACGATACACATAAAACGGTATTCCAATTATTTGTCTCAAATCGGTCGGTGTGGCGCATGACGTCACATGCGAAGCTCGGCAGATGAACGGCTCGAAATTTCTATACATTATAATGCACTAGTTGCACGTTTCTACATAGGAAAATCTCGCGTTTGTTTATTTCATTGTCAGTTTATATATAGTAAACGTAACAGTAGACGATACACTTTTATCTAAACATGCCGGGTTGTGGTGTAGCTAAATGTGGAAACTACAATAAGAAAAGCACCAGAAGATTTTACCATTTTAGAAAGGAATATTGATCACTAACTGATCCTTGACGCATAAGTTTGAATATTTATATGAAAAGTACAGTGTCGAGTATATTTTAACTTATCGTCTTAACCAAGATGTGCTCGAAAAATTTTTTTCATACATTCGTGGTATGGGAGGAGCAAATGACCACCCTTCTCTCCTTGACTTTAAATATCGTATGAGATGGTTTATATTAGGAAAACATTATGCCGCAATCTTTACAGAAAACAGAAATACGGAAGAAAATATTGAGCAAAGTGATGAAGATATTTGTTTAACTCAATCAATATTTTCTAATGTAATAAAAAATTAACAGTTGGTTAAACAAGAGTAAGATGATTTTGAAAAGAGATAAATTTTAAATCTCTAAAGTACATAGCGGGATATATGGCGTACAGGTACAGGAACAAATATTCTTTGGGTATTCCTACAATTAATCACGGGCGGCAACATAGAAATGTACCTGATTGGTTACAGACTATTTCGAGAGGGAAACCATCTACCGATTTAATTAAGGCAGCTCAGGTTCTTGATGCTAATTTTTTTGACTTGCATAAACACTCCTTAAATAATGAAAAATACATTTTTCTAAAATTGGCACAGATAATTATGAAGAAGTTAGAAAATTCGTCAGTTCCATTTGAAGTAATTCTCTGCCTGAGTCGAACTAGAACTGATATCAGATTACAAGACCTTAGAAATGGATAAGTTTACTAATTATAAAAAATAAATTTTAATTGTATTATGTATGTACAATATTGCATTATACTTATGAACAAAGTTTTCTCATACTCTTTCAATCAAAATTCTTCTATGACAACTGTAAAATTAGATTTAAAAACTAAATGACTGGTTAAGTTTGTATGTCAAGTATGAGTATCTAAAATACGTAGATATTACAATTATTTGTTTTAATATAGTCCTACCGCAAAATTTTAAGTTTTGGGAGACATTCTAGTTAACAGAGTCACTCCATCGAATAATCTGCGATATTTTAATCTATAACTGTAGTATATCCCCATTTAATTGTATTTCAAAAATGTATTAGACATGTCAGTACATGTAATATGTAAGTAGTTATGTACATCAAATATACAAAAAATATTAAAAGCCCAAAAAATATACACTTGTATATGAGCATCGTGCGATACTTCTTATAATACCGGGCAAATTTTCTTCGCACCCGGAGCCTCACGCGCATTGGCATATCGTTGTAAGTGTATCGTGAGTAGAACTGATTAAGAATATATTAAAAATATACGAAAATTTATTTACACTTTGACATCGTATATCTCGAAAAATATTACTTTTCATATAAAACAAACTTGCCTTAAACGCAATATTTTTGCATAAACAATATGTCAGTGAATGTTGGCACATTAGTTGAGGACCACGCTGTATACTGAATTGCACCATTCTGCTTCTCAAATACGGTTGCATAGCGTGTGAATCACTCTACCAACGGATCCCATTATCTTGATTACTTTGGCTAATTCCATCATTTCCGGGAGATTTTCTATTTTCCAGTCGGTTCACGCCATTTCCACTTATGATCTTAGTATTCCCGGTTCAAAATTTTTCGTCTTCGCGGTAATTTTTGTTGTTGTGGTGGTAGTAATATACAGTTTAGAGTTGGGGTGGTCGGTATTTAACGTAACCGCTAAAATAAGCAAACGTTTAACGCGAAACCGTGGTTACAGCTAGCCGATTTAACCGGTTTTTTGGAACCGTCTCATAAAACCGAAAGAGTTGTGCGCACTTCGCACCAGCTGCAGCCGTTTGCCGATTAAAAGGTTGTTTTTGGAACCGTCTCATAAAACCGTAACAGCGGTGTGCACTTCGCACCAGCACAAAACCGATGCGACACCGTCGCGCGATCTATCCAGCTGCAGCCGATTGCCGATTTAAACATTTCTTTTTGGAACCGTCTCATAAAATGTCGTGCGCACTTAGCACTAGCTGCAGCCGCTGATTTGCTGATTTAAAGGGTTTTTTTGAAACCGTCTCATAAACCTGAAAAAGTGGTTCGTTTTAGCACAGAACCGATGCGGCATCGTCGAGCGCTCATCCAGTTGCAGCAGTTTCAGTAACCATTTGTCAACGGAAAATATGTTGTATGTATTTGCGCGTTGCTTTGATGATTGTGTATCACTTTTCGTTTACAATAATATGTTCAGTTCACCAGGAACCAGAGAAAATATAATAAATCTTAAAAAAATTTATTTCCTTCAAGAAACTTAGTTCGGGAGCTATATGCCCATTACCAGCAAATTAAGCAGAATGTACACTTGCATATGAGCTATGAGTAAATTAAGAGTCTAAGACATAAATGCTATCACACTTGGAATGTAAAATAACAAACGTTTTAAGCGGAATGTGCACCTACATTTAAGCAAGCTGGCCATTTTTAAATACAAATTCAGTCAGATATGAAATTAAATTTATTTGAATAGTAATAAACGTTGTAAGGTCGACATATTTTTTTTAAATTATTTTTTGGTGATTTCAAAATTAACTCGAGTAATACTTCGTCCAGGTTTGCCAAACACGCATTTCTGTTTGTTGTTATTAGATGTTAGTTGATAGTTGTTATTAAATGTTAATTCATTGTTAAATAAAAATGAGATTTTTAAACATTTTCGCATATAAACCGAATATTTTATTTAATCACTCTAGTTTTATTATTATCAGTTTTTTTGTTCTTTAAGTAGTTACTTCTGACCCATGTTTTGTTTTTGATTTTAGAATATTTCATTTTAAGTTTACCAATGTTAAGAATTAAGTTTTAAATAAAGGAAATCGTTATACATCATCACTATTTCTACTGCTAACTGAATAATCATTCTGCAATTTTAATAAAAAATTTAAAAAGTAACATGTTCCTTTTGGAATTGGAACGTTGTAACCCGTTMCAGAAAAATAACCGTTTATCACACCTCTAGTTTRGAGCAGTACTTGCGCCATACCTCAGCATCAGTGACAATCAGCCCAATCTCATCATATGTGTGTGCGAAGTTTAGAGTCGGGCGCCAKGTAYTTTACTTTGGTGAGTAATTCATTGCAATTYGCGTGTCGTTCCGCTTCCAAGAAGATAATGTGGGATGCGTTTGYTCTTGTACAACCGGCACTTTTTTAATGCCCTGGTTGAGTCTTGAGAAATTTACTTTATGCAACAGTAGGTAAATTCTAGCTCAGTTGTGTATCGTTTTATAAAACTTTCGAAGTACCCAAAATTTAACTTTCTTAAACGCATAGCTATTGATTGAAGTAACAAAATCTATTGCGTCATAAACAGGGGCATGACACAATTTTGAAATAAATTGAAAGAAAATAAATATGTCAAAAGTAAAGATTAAACTCAAACTCGTTTGACGGTTTTAGCAAATTTTATGATAAATAAAACACATCAATGCTAAAATACGTAATATATATTTTCAGTCGGCGAAAGCACTTCGGCCGCTGTATATCATACTGTAAATCACGTTAGCTTAAACTAATACTAACAGTAATGGAGTATAGCAACCTTAAAAACATCATTACATTACATTTGAGTTATTGCATTAGAACGTTTATAATATTTAGTACAAAATAGTATTAATTACTAAACAAATGGTCTAATATAATCTGCACTACTCCTAATTAGAAGTACTTTTGTAAAGGCTCACCAAGCATTTTTTCCATTTCGCGAATCGCTTTTTGACAGGCTTTCTCCACTCTTTCATCTTCGTCTTCCAACAATTCCGCTAAAAACGGGATAGTTTCCGGTAGCAGGGGCATAAAGTCTTCCTTCAACTTTGCGACAACTTCCGCTAGGCAATGTAAAGCAACAAGCCTCAATTCGGGTTTCGGATTCCGCATCTTCAACAAAACCTGATAGTTCATTTCTTTCCAGAATACATCATCGGCTAAGGCCAGCGCAAAACTGACAATAGTGGGAGTTAGTAGCTGCTCGTTTCGTTTTACCAATGCGTCAATGCCGTCAATATCTTTATCGAGTAGGTCGACCAAGGGTTGCATGATGAGCTGGAATCGATCCCTGTTAAGAGTCTTTTTGTTATCGTAAGTGAAAATAGTTTTCAAAGTTTTCAACACAAACTCCAACAACAGGACGGTTTTCTTGATGTCGTCAAAAGCATATTCGTCGATTTTGTGTATAATATTGGACATGTTGCTGAAAATGTTGCTGGCGAACAAGACAAATAATCCTTTTAGGGCCTGCCCGATTCTTTCAGAAATGTGGTAGAAAGTGATAAGGCGCTCATGATTTGTCCGGGCCCAATCATACAACTTCAAGTAGAAAGGTCTGAAACTGCTTTCGGATAGCTTTAAAGTGAACACCGTCAAGGTTTTGATCACTTGGTTTTCGATTAAATTTGCCACTTCCAGTGAGGGACTATGGTTGGATCGAAATTCTAATGCTTTCAGGAAAAGCGCAGTCAGTTCGGACATGTTCTGAGCAACGTCTATCGATTGAAAACTGACTAGTTGTTCCTCCATTATATCCATCAAAGCCACCAAAGCATTATAGTATCGTTTTGCTAGTAAGGTATTATAACATTCATCTATAACAGAAATCAAAATTCTCGCAGGTATTGTAGTGCTGAGCTTCTTTTTAATTCCGTTCAGTCGAATTATTAGGGGTTGGCATTTTGAGTCCTCGATGCAGCTGCCCCACTTGCTTAACAAAATTGAACTTTCGCAGATAAGCTTTGGCAGGTAGGGACTTAGAAATGCTGCAAAACTCTCTAGAAACTTATTAACCGCTGTTACGACGCTCAACAGTAACAAGCTATATGTTTCCTGGTACTTTTGCTTCTTAAGAATGTGAAGAAACGCGGGCATAAATGAAGCGATTGCGGCTAACCCATGAGCCCTTAAAACTGCACAAACTTCGGCCAAGCATAGAACAACTGAAGCCAAAACGTTTCCTTCCATTTTACCGGAATTTAAAATGCTTGCTACAAATTCGAGAACGGGTACAAACTTTTCCGGTTCTTCAGGTGCCAAAACTATAACGATAAGTTTCAAAGATAGCAGACCGGTTTGTATCAAAGTCTCTTGGCTTTCGTTCTCAACGATAAGCGATATCGGTTTAATTAGAATGCAAAGCTCTTTTTTGTCTTGCTCACTGAAGCTTAGTAGATTGCCTTGCAGTTTGTTGTTCAACAATTCGAGCGCTCTTTTCTTCACATTGACCATACTATGGACCAAAAGTCCTTTGATGACTAACAAAAACATCCGTGGACTTAGCAGGTCGTTGATACTATCTAATAATTCATAGCTATGATGCAAAATGGTTTTCCAGTAGAGCGACTGCGGACTATCTGCGGAGCTATCGGACACTTTTTGGATTCTTTGAATATATGACAGCACCTTGATGATTAACTCCTTATACAATGACTCGATAGAACCGTTTTCGGATTTGGAAAGTGTGGCAATTTTGACTATAAATTCCCGAGATGACAACAAGCTGGACAAGAATGTAATAATTAAATATTTGTAGTGGCGGAATTGTTTGTTGGTGTAATTGGTGCTAGGTGGAAGAGAACTTGAACCGCTGGTCGGAAGGTCGTCCTTTTCGTCTGGAAGATCGTTGACGTATTGAGCAAGCTGTACACAAGCTTGCAACGTGGTAACAGGAGAAAATTCCTGGCATAATTGCAAAGCTATTTTGGATCGTGGCGGTGCTACTCCTAGAATAAATAATTTAAATTGAAAAAAATCCAGTTTATATCGTCATCAACACAAATAATTTACAATTAAATAGATGTTAGGTGCCCTAATTAATTAATAGCAAAAATTCCATCTTTTTGTCTTAATAAATAAAAACAATAATAAAATACAGCTAAAAATACTGCGTAGACATTCAATATACCCACGACGCAACGACACCGTCTTATAAAAATAAGGTTGTTCTTGAAATAGAAATAAATTTAAATAAGGCACCCAACAATATGACCAATTAAGTTCGACTATGAAGTATATAAGCAGAGCGACCAATGAAATTGTAAAACGGCAACATTGAGTCCATCTTGACCCGATGAGGCGTCTACCGAAATACTCCAGACAACTACGGGGAGCGTATTGTATTTGCCTCCGCATTACAGAATAGACCGAAAATAAGACGCTGTGATTGGCTGGTCATGTAACGTTTAGCATGAAGAATACGACCGACGGAACGGAACTTCCATAACTGTCACAATCGCTGTCAAAAACCCGTGTCTTTGCATGGCATCAAGAATAAAGGAATCAGAAAGCTAAAAAGTGGAAAAGTCCGGAATCAAAGCCACGATCGGAATGTTTTGTGTCATTTGCAACGTCTCATCATTGTTTTCAGCAAGTGTGGTACTGTTTTCGATTCAATTTTCTTGATTTTTCCTAACTTGTGTGTGTAACTAAAGTGTATTCGCATTGAAAGGTCCCCAGGAAGAAATTTACGTGAGTTTGATGCGGTCAAAATTGTCACCTTGTTGGAAGAAGGGTATTCCCAACGTGAGATTCCCGAAGGTTGGGTGTTCATCACAACACCATTGGTCGATGTTTTCAGCGTTTTAGGGAAACCGATTGCCATGCTAGAAACTCTTTCGAACGTAAATTAATATTTTAGTTTAATACATGTATGATCTGACATGTTCTTTAAAAAACGTTAATAGGTTTTATTGCTGCTTATTTACTTTTACTTCGGTGTGGAAACGATAAAATTGTGACACAAACGTCTAAAATATCTGAGCAATAGAAACACTTTCGTATCATCGTACAAACGGATACATAGGACAGTCTTTGGACGGTTAAGAAAGATATATGGTTTTTCTACATACTTTAGAACCCAACTGCAGGGGTTATTAATATATTATCCCCATATTTTCAAATTCAAAAATAGTATTTTATAAATATTTTATAAAACACAGGGTGCCCATTACAAAAAAATGAGAAACTGTCATTTTTAAACATTGACATTTTTAAAAATAGGTTTGGGTTTCCCACTAAAAATGTTGACAATACAGATACTATGTAAATCTTTTATTTCAACAACTTTTTCATAACTTTTGAAATAATCTTTGCAGTGGCGTGCTAAGATAGACGGGAAGACCCTGTACATACCTATCTATAAACCGAGCGGGGGCGAATTATAGATATCATTTATTAAAAATATAAAACTCGAAAATGTCAAAATTTGACAGTCACTTTTTCTTGAATAAAACACTATATATTTTTAGACATACTAATAGGATTTTTTTTGCCAAATTTTMCAAAATAYATATTTTGCCAATATTTATATKAGCCGTTTTTCCTAAATTAATTTTTATATTAACCGTTTCAAAACTGATAAATAKCAACAAATTAAWGTAACCTAGAAATTCGACAAGACGCTCCCTCCACCCCGTAACGTTCGCCTGGTAGCACTTTTTTCAATGAAATGTTGATATCTCGATTGGACGAGCGGGTCCAATCCAATAGCCCCCAAATAGCCCCGACGTAGCGCCTCTTGATTGTTTCCTCTAGGGTTATTTAATAGTATATTACATAATAAGAGTTGTAAGTAAGGAGCACTTTACGTACGAATGCAAAAGTTGCGCACGATGTCGCGAAGCGGCGAGTCAGTAATTCCTGAGTACGTAATTGCGTCGAATTATGTACCATACTTTACCTACGACCGTAATAACTTGCTAAAACTGAAGCTTGCTGTTGACAGCAGCCCAGAATTACAAATTAAAACGTCATACGTTAATAAACAAAAATTCAATATTATGTACATTTTCCCGAAAAGTTTTGAAGTTTGCAGACAAAATCTTGGTCTTCTTGCTTTTAGAACCATCAGACCCACTTTTCAGTGGAGTAAGTAATTTTCGATACAAGTTACAACGTTTATATTGTGTGAATTATGACAGAACTGTGCGTTTGGTTTGCAATGCGTAAAATGGAACTTACTTAGATGGTAGGTAGTGTGTTTTATACTACCTTCAGTAGTGGTCGTAGGCAAAGAATATTGTGTATGAGACTCTAGTTAGACGCCTTAAAAAAATGATGCAATTAACGAAATTAATATTAATCATAACCAATAAATTCAAAACGTTATGTTATAGATAAAATTGTTAAATGCACCGCAGTAAGAAATAAMATTTTTAAATTCACAACGTTGCSCGCTTTTCAGAGCGTGCAACGTTTACAGAATATTACAATGCAGGTAGATGGAAATACAGAACTCACCCTTTTCAATTTTAGTTTTCTCTCTAGACGCTTGGAGAACATCTGCTTCCATCACAAATAACAAGAACAAATACAAGTTCTCATTCACGTTGACGTTGGTGAGAAGCTTTGTGTATAGTGGTATCCTTCTGTGCTCAGGTACGTCCAACAAAGCGTCAATAAATACTCTCAAAACATCAGATATGGTTGTCACTTGTTTTGCATCAACCAAAATTGGTATGATTGTATCCACAATTTTCGAAATTATTTCAAAACTGTAAGCGTCATCATGCCGAATCAATGTGGTACCCATGAAAGTGAATACTGCCATAACGTGGTGAAGTACATCTTTAGGTACTATTTTGGCTGCATGTGCCAGCACTAACAGGGCATGATAGTGTGTTTGTGGATTCTGAGAGGCTCGAATACACTGGATCACTAATTCTATATTGAAGTCACTTTCTGACACATAATTCTCATCTACATTGCTGCAAATTAGTAGTACTAGGGCAAGCGTTAGTTGCTTTGGATACTCCACTACAGCTTGCTCCTCAAAGTCCAGACACTTTTTGAGTACATCAAATAAAATCGGTAAAAGAACCTGAGGGTTCTTTATCTTTTTCTTGCTCTGTATAAACTCCAGTAAGCTTACTCCTTTCTTCCATGCCACCGAGTCTAGAATATCAACTGTAGGCGTAACAAGTCCTCGCCTGTTTCTTCCTTTTGAACTATTAATTGAAGTCATTTGCACTAAGATTTTGGATATAATTTTCGCATTTAAGTCCAGATGCTTAAACAGCTTACTGGATAGTGAAATAAATTCCGGTTCTTCGCATAAGGCCACTTGTTCACATACCAAGTCCAACAGGTTTTCTAATACATCTTCTGGAAGTACCGCGGAGACGTCTCGTGAGAGTTGGTTCAGCATACAATTTGGCAAATATATTTTTTCTTCGTCAATAATGACAATACGTTTTTGATTCAGAACAAAAACTACAAAATGCCAAATTGGAGAATTCTGAGACATTTGGGCCATAACGTTCGAATCTAGTCGCCTAACAATATTTGTCAGTATTTTTAAGTCGCACTGATCGAGTGTCTTGTTCTCAAACAGCTTCACGAAGTGTTCACAAAGCGTTTGGACAATATCGAACTTCTTTACTTCGGATAGACAATTTAAAATTCCCCACTTGACATACATAGGGGTATCATTACTACAAATTGTTTCCATTAATTGATTCAAATTAACTGCTGCTTTGTTTGAACTACTCGTTCTGTGAGCTAAAATGTCTGTTAACAATAAACCAACTTGCGCATTATCAGCCAGTATTCGTTCTTGCTGGTTCGAGAGTTGCTGAAGCAGCCATTTATGCGTTGTATCGAATTGTTCAATTATATCGAACACCAATTTTCGTATAGTTGGGTCTCTGTTGGAGAGCATGATTAACACATAAATGCCATTAAGACAAGTTTCTGGCTTGTCTCGCAGTACATAACGTAAAATTTTACAAATTGTGACAGGTTCAAAACAGCCAGCGATGCAAATGTTCAAGGCTATGTTTCCATCTGTGGAGATTTTCGCTAAAAATACCTCAAATATACTTTTAAACTTTGCATCACTGAAACTCAAATTAATCAACTCGGTAAAGAAATCTGAATACTGAATTGCGTCTAACGAACACCAGTTTTGTCCGGAATCAAACGTTTTAGAAAGTATTGAATCCAGGCATTGCAATATCCCCTTTGTAACTGTTCGGAGATTATATCTGTTCAGCTCTTGCGATATTTCACGAATGAGCAAATACAGATCCCTCACTGGCAGTATGTCAATTCGCTTAGATATATCTCTTAGTGTTTCTTTGTCTCGTTTAACAGAATACTGTTTTGGCTTGGTAGAAATTGCTTCATTTACTTCTTCAAGAAGCGACAGTACAATATTTCTCTTACTCTCTGGAATATCCTTCAAAGCCTCATCGAACTGTACCTTATATTTTAGTTGGAGTTGCTTGATAATGTCCTGCAACCAGCTAGTGGGGCAATTCTTCGCTAGATCTTCACTGTCGACTTTGTTGAGTACCAAACTAAAATAAGTATTTAAATTAGTCGATCTGTAATATACAGGGTGTCCGTTTTAGGAGCTCAACCATGAGAATCTCAGTAACCATACTAGAAACGAGATTGATTAAAGTAGCGCAGTCTAGAGCTTACTAAAATGCTCATTGAAAATTAAAAAAAGAAGAGATATCCGGAAAAAGTTTTTATTTTTTCCTTAGCTTATTTGACGCAGAAATTTAAAATGAATAATGCTTCAGCATTGCAGCTTTTTCTCTTCTAAAACGTGGCGATGTTGTATTTAAAATGCGACTTATGGATTCTTGACAACCATCATCAACTTTGTTTTTTCTTATAAGCTCATCTTGGATTTTTACATGTTTCGATTCAGCTTTTTTTCTGATTACGATGATGTATCACATGTTAAGATTCAGTCGTGCTGTTTGGTGAAAATAGCAAAACTGCTGTTTTTCATAGAGTGCTTTGGAATAACAACCACGCTTTTGTTTGATCAACATATTTTAGACAGTGACTGAGTAGAATAAAAAAGAGAAAACACTGCATTATAAATTTACATAAGATGAAACTAAACTTTGAGAAACCAGTAAATTTAGAAAATTGCAAGAGGTGCGCGAAGAATTCACCTTCCACTTGCAAGCACAGATCAATGCGTCTTCTTGAATTTTCTATTGAACTTAAATCAAATCCCTTCTTCTAATTTTGGTCTTTAAGGTTGTGATGATCTCCCTTCGCAAGTCATTAATATTGGTGATACAGACACTGTCTAAAATATGTTGATCAAACAAAACTGTGGGTGTTATTCCAARGCACTCTATGCAAAACAACAGTTTTGTTATTTTCACCAAACAGCAAGACTGAACCTTAACATGTGATACATCATCGTAATCAGAAAAAAAGCTGAATTGAAACATCCAAATCCCAAATCCAAGATGGGCTTATAAGAAAAAACAAAGTTGATGATGGTTGTCAAGAATCCATAAGTCGCATTTTAAAAACAACATCACCACGTTGTAGAAGAGAAAAAGTTGTAATGATTACAACTATTACTCATTTGAAATTTCCGCGTCAAATAAGCTAAGGATAAATAAAAATTTTTTTGGAATTTTGATTTTTTCCGGACATCTCCGAAAGCAGCAGACATTTTAAAAATTCTCCATGAGCATTTTATTATGCTCTAGACTACGCAACTTTACCCAATTTAACCAATCGCGCATCTAGTATGGTTACCAAGATCCCCATGGTTGAGCTCCAAAAACGGACATACTGTATTACATTTTGTAACATATATGTCTTATATGTAACATATTTTATCACTTACCCTAGCACATCAGAAATAAAACTGCCATCAAATTCTAATTGCTTCACAATTTCCAAAATCATTTCCTGAATTTCAGCTTGATATTCCTCCCCTTCATAATTTAGAGCATTTCGCAGAAGAACCCTAAGGAATGGATACACATAATTTCCATTGGAGTGCAGATAAGATAGGCATTCCACCAGCCAATTCGTTTTGGCAAAGTTAGCTAGCGCGTCAGAACTTAAAACTTCAAATTGCGGCTGCAGCTGGTATATCAATACCAGCGATAAAGTGTTTTCCAATTTTAAAGATGGGCACTTTAATTCTGAAAGAGTGTTCACAAATCTACTTAACAATTTCTCTGTTACAGAGCATTTGGATAACAGCCTGGCAGTAATAACCAATGCAGCAGATGCAAAATCAGGTATGGATGATTTTATCCCTTTTGTAATAAACGGGAGCAGCTCTGTGATGAAAGGTTCCTGAATTTCCGGGGAAAATTCGATAGCTCCACAAAATACCGTTGAGTAGAAGTTAAAATACATCGTCAAAACATTGCTTTGATGAGTCTTTAGCAGTTGGGTCAAAAATTTGATCATCAACTTTACAAGTTGGAAGTTTGATAATGCTTGATGAAATAAATTGGATGTCGGTACAGTCATGTTAGACTTATGTACGGTTTTCAAGAAATAAAACGGGTCACTGACATTTTGAAATCGGCAGGTTTGTATAATCCTACAGAAAATCTTTGAATTGTAATGTGGCAATACTGCCAATAGCAGATCGGTCTTGTTATTCTCATTGATACGGTAGCGGTTAAACAGCCACTCCAAAGCCTTCTGTGCTGGATTTAGCAGTATATAGGGAGCGACCAAAACCAGAAACTTCCTTATTTTCTTGTTTAGCTTCTTATTGTCCTCCTTAGAATGCACGTATCTATCAAAATGCTTTGACGAATTGTGAAAAAGCGTTTGCAAGAATGGTTTGAAATTCTCATTCCTTGCTATTAGCTGATGTAACCCTTCTAATCCAATTTCATAGATTACTTCGCTGCTGATCGATGCAGCCTCTTTAGGATCAAACAAAAGCGTCGATCGTTTCTTGTCATTAATTAAGACGTCAGTGGCTGGGGTGGCCAGCTTCTGAAGCTGAGCAGCTAATGATGTAGACATCGTTGATCTGCAAAKAAATAACACCACATTCAAACTTTGTGGTCGATAATATACAGGGATGTTGTTCGTCATTCGGAAGAATATTAGGATAGTTATTATGATAAACTTAAGACGAGACTTAGATTATAAGACGGTGCTACATTTTTCTAAATTATTCTTTACCCCGCGCGGAAATTGAAACTAACGGTCATTGTATGTATTCGCGTTGATAAAGGCGGATTGTAGGTTAGCGTCATTCCTCTCAAAAAATTGCCTGAGGGTGTTTAGAGAGTACAGACAATTTTATAAAACTTGATATTTACCCGATAATGCGAAAAGGTTGAACTCAGTCATGTCATCTACTTAATCATGATACTAAAACTAACAAGATAAGCCCACGCTAAGAATAAGCAAGTTTGCGAAGCTTGGATTCACAGATGTTATCAGAAATTTAAATTTAATGTTAATGTTAATTATTTAAATATTAAACTTAGTAGTTGGCAACGCCGGACGCCGCTTAGTTAGGGTAAATGACGGAGAGGTGGCGAGCCTATATAAAAGGTGGATCTCACCCCCATTTTGTGATGACTTTTGTACCTAGCTCCTAACAAGGAGCCTGCCTGTTTTCACAAATACATACAGTTGAATAATACAAGTGGCTTCTTATCCAAAAATACCCACGGCTTGCTGACCCAGCCAAAAATAAGTGTTGGAGCTAGCACCTAAACAGTTAAAACGCCAGAACATGTTCCAAGCACTATWCGGTTGATGATTATTGTCTCAAGGAAAAACTTTTGAATCTACCCGAGTCTAAATGGAAACTAAAACCTGATGAACGGAGTGTTCAAATGTAGGAACCATAACTGATACACCAAATGTTGTAATGCGAAATGAAGCTGCCATCTTAAGTGTGAAGACAAGTGTGAAGAAATTTACAAAAGAATGAAATATTTTTAGGATTCGTCGCAATTTTTTGAGAAGGCTCAATTTGTGTATTAAGGAAAATGGACAACACTTTAAAAGTTTGCTATGAACATTTAAAAACTGTATTACAAAATCTAATAACACTTATTCCCTTATTAAATATTTAATAAACAATAATTAATTCAAAGTGCACTTGTTTCCATGGCACGCTCTGTTAAAACGTTGGAAATAATTTGACGTGCGTTATTACTTACGCCGTGCAAGACAATTTTAAAAGTAGATTTTCTCGAGAATGGCTCATTTTAGAGAGATGTGACAAGTAAACCTTTTTTACGTAATTTTGAATGCTCTTTATTTTTTTGAAATCATACATAGCAAAAAGTGGAAAATAAAAAAGTTTAGGTTATTAAGTAGGTGTTATCGGTGAGTTCAACTCTTCAGCATTAACCGATAAATCTCAACTTTTGAACAATAATACAAATGATCATAAGTAATAAGTGTGCCAACCTTGAAAACAATCGGATAACCAACAAAAAGTTATTTCAAAAATAACATTTTTTTAAATTTAACTTTAAGGCCGTTAATATTGAGTTTTAGCAAAAGTATTGAACTTGTCACACTCATTTTCACTGTAAATTTGCCTTGTTAAGTGTTCGTCGCATCTTTTCCAGACACTTGTGTAAGTATAATTCAAACAGATGCAATTTTTGGAGAACGGTTTTTCTGCATTACGTGAAGTAAATTTTTACATGATATTTATTATTACTTAGAACATGATTTTAAAAAGTTTGAAAGTGTTTTTTTCCGCAAATTTATGGACGTTCCGCATTTTTATTCACTGAAACTGCAAAAGAAAGCGAAACTCGGGCAGACATAACGTACATGAGTAACAATCATCCATCCAGAGAAATGCTAATACTTGCTACTGTAATAATGAGTAATGTTAAAGACAAGAATTACTCTTACAAACGTTTCGAAACACCATCATAAGCAAATTGAGATTATATTAGAATTTCATGATTAAGATGCAGGGGCAACGTCATATATCGAGAGAAAATAAAAGAGATGCATATTCTTCGACTAATATTGAACATTTCCCACGTTTTCTCACTAAATGGAAGTATTTTTTGAATGCCATGCCGGTGTTCAACGTGTTGAATAATTACATTATTGCACTTAAAGGTATTTATTAACTTTGTATAACGTTCTAAATGTTAATAAACGTACCAAGGTTTTCCGGTGTTGTTCAAATGTGAAGAGTTACTAATTTTACATAAAACCACTTTCAACTTATATAGACTCAACATTCCCTACTGAACACAGTACCAAATCGAAAAGGTAAAAATATTTGTGGTTATGTTAGCAGTTAGCATGCACTCTTCTCACGGGAAAGTCTACTGGACTGGTCTTCTCTTCTAATCGTTGAATGCTAGCCTGTTTTTCTCTATCACATCGTTGCCAAGACAACACAGAATAGAGTACTGATGGCAATATGGACATATTGTTTTATTGGCAGAAACCGGGCTTATTAGATAGGTGGAAAACATTTAATTGTTTTTGTTTTAAAAGTTATTGAAGACTGAAATGTTAGAAAAAAAAATATAAAGTACTTTAATTACTAATAAAAGTAATTTTCGATTGAATTTGTTTGAAGGTATCAAATAATTGCATGCGAATGTTAATATCGAAGAAAACCTAATTTAAATATGCATATGAATAATGAAATGTGTGAATACATAAATAATGATGTATTAGAATTGATGTTGTTCGCTATGTTGCTTGTTCGTTTTCAAATATTTCTCAGCAATATTAGACTACATATTTTTTTAAATATTTCTCAGTCGTCAATTGTGCACTACGTTTTCAAAGAATTGTTTTATAACCTAATCGACTTCATTTCCCGTCTGATTTCAAAGTTTTTACTATTAGTTGAGAGAGCAATAAAAACTCTACAATATGTGATATAACAGCAATCTTAATCATTTTCAAAAAATCCGCTGTTCAAAAAAAAATTTTTGTTTTAATTTTTTACAACAATTTGAAATACTACCATCAAGTTATTTTACGCGCATTCGAAAGTACATAAAAAATGAACCAAACCGCAAAAACCGCATCTTAAAATAATTTCTGGAATCGATTTAATACTTGAAAATAATAAAGGTTGCCTAATTCAAATAATTAAAATAGGCTTTGAAAGAAAAAATTTTGGTTTATTTTGTTGTTGTTTTATTTTTCCCACTATTTTCAAAGTTACTAGATGGTTCACTTATAGGGACAATTTCTGTATAAAATCGACTTTTTAAAATACCGTTTGCAATTACGCCATCTAGTGGTCATCTGAGAAATTTCAAAATAATTTTGAGAATTTTTTTTTTCTCAAGTTTGTTATCAAAATTTTTTCCGATCGCTCTACAACATATACTTTTCAAGATACAGCCGCTTACCATCCTTATTGCGACACCCTGTTTAAACAATCCTTATTTCTAGAAGGCTATCTATCCAATAGCTCGTTTGAAAGCTCTTTCAAAAATGAATTACTACTCAGTAATACACATAATGTTACCTTTAGAAAAGTAGTTACCGACTAAAGAAAATCAGTAAAACGAAAAAAATTAAAAAGATTGCAACATGCAACTTTAATAAATCTTATTAAATGCCAGTTATAATGGTAATTTTGGAAGCAAGTAGACGGAATAAATGCAGTAGCAGTTCAAGCACGTTGTAGCAGCACAAGAACAAGTTGTTTCTCTGTTAACTAGTTGTTTTTCTTATTGAAAATAGATGAAAAAATAACCCAAACAACTTCTGGCAGCGTAAAACCGTTCCAGTTTTGCTCTGTTATTGTTTAGAAACGATCCAAATATATGTTAGTATTCATATTAACTCATAATGTTCCTCAGATATAGTCACTACAAATTTTACAATTTGCATGCAGTTGTAATTCACTTTATATTTCCCAAATACTTTAATGATCTAATTCTGTAATAAGTGTTTCATACATAGATTGATGAATTTAATAACTACTTTCCATTAGAAGCCCCATGCTCTCCCATAGTATGAGATCATTTCTAAACTTGAGTTTCCCAAAGCTTTCAAATTTAATTATAATAGGATAGAGGGGAGATAGAATATCGATAAAATGGGCCACCTTGTGTTTGGAGAAAAACCAATAATGGTGTTTCTTCGTTTCTAAATAAAATTAGAGTCTGTTCACAGAACTTCACACAACTGAACACACACAAAACTGAATTTGATCTTATTAAGGATATTGGAGAGTAGACGAGAGGACTTAAGGATATTGAGATCGAATTTATGTTTTTTGTTGGCTTATTTAAATAATATTTAAAATGTGTAAATATTCTGTTCGACTAAAATTTTGTTCAAATAATTGTTTAAACAGTATCAAGTTACTATTTTCGGATAGATCACTGTTTTGTTGACGCTAAAAACACTCTCTCTTACAGAGTAAACTATCTGATCTGAATAAGCCAAAACGCCTGCCTATTTACACAAACAATGGTTTCAACGCCAATTCGGCTTTACAAATTTGCTACATAATTAAAATCATTTTATTCATTTGTTTATTTATTCAGTTTTGCGTAGCATTTGAATGCATGAAGTTTGTGTAGAAATTGTTATCATCAGATAATACACAGTTTTAGCTCCTTTGCTCTTCCATGCGTGATTTAATAACTGGGGTTTTCGACATAATTTCCTTTATTTTGCGATGTACTGTTTTTGCGTAATCTGGGTTTTTCGCTTCCGACAAAATTAACTGAATTCTTCGTCTAAACGTAAGATACAAATTGGCTTTATGCGGCCCGTTTTCGCGGTTATGCAATCCAAGCACCGCAACGAATGTTGATTGTTTAGATTTTCCGAAACATTAATTTTTGATCTTGCAACGTTCTTCAATTTAATGTGAAACAACTGAAAGCAGTTGCAGAAAGTGCAAAATTTGGATTCATCAACTACGACCAAGTAATTAGTACATATACGTTTTGTCAAATAGACGAAAACTTACCTTATTAAACCTTACATCTTATTAAATAGAAAGAAGGCCAGCGGAAGTAAGTCTGGTAATTAGACGCAATTCAAAAGGGCATCCAAAGCACAAAAGTCCTAATCAATATTAATTGCTGTGCTAATTTCGTCTTAGCTGAATGTAGCATTTTTGTACTGTTAGTAAGACTAGTAACATCGATTTCAAACTAATTATAATTAGTTTGAAATCTATAGAATTGTTGAATCTATAGATTATCGAAATTTTGGGGTATTTATGTATTTACATTTTTGAGGGGGTATATTATGATTTTTTGAAAACCATCTAATGTCCGATTTGCATATTTTAACCAATGTTAAGTATTCGGTGAAAGAGGCGTGAAGATGTTTGGGTTTATCGGTGAATATGTACAGTGGCAAAAATGTAAACATTATTTTTCTTGAGCCAACGTTTCGGATACATTTAATCCTCAGAAAGCTCAAGAACTACATGGCAACCAGGCGCAAGATAATGCCGAACTTACCGAAAGCTGCATGGGGTCACCTGGACAGAAATAATAAAATGTGTTTAGTGCAACAGGCAATTCGTATAAAGAAATGTTAGCAAAAGAATAACAAAAGTAAAAATCCGTAAAAATCCATAAAACTTCAGTTGACATTAGAAAAAGTATTCAGTTCAAACTAAGGGATCTTTAGTTTAGAAGTCATTCTTACCAGCTTTCGCCTAGCTGGCGCCCCATCTTTCATTTTCTGTCCATTAATCATCTTCCACACGGCACTTGAACAATCAATAAAAATCTACTCCAAAGAGAAAACGCGATACGAAGAACACCCGAGCATTGCAAAGCTGTAAGAAAACTTAAATTAGTAAAGTGAGACATTTCAAAAAGTGACTTGCTGAACCTGAAACACATTAGATCCTAGCAAAATGAGTAATAAATACAATACGATATGAATAGTTCAAAGCTGCAAGTAGGTAAATACCTTAATTAGAAGTTAAGATATTTTAAATATTTAGTTTGACTTTTTCACAACGTAGCTTGCAAAGAGGGAATTATTTAAATAAGTAATAAATATCCTAAAATGTGAACGGTTCAAGGCTGCAAGAAAATGTTTTTATTAGTAACTAGAAATATTTTAAAAAGTTACGTGTCTTGCATGAAAAATATTGTATGTTAGCAAAATAAGTACCTACAAAATAAAATTAATCATAAAAAGTTCGGAGCTGCAATAAAAAAAGTTTTACTGGTAAATAAAAACAATTTAAAGAGTTACCTGTTGTACCTGAAATAAATTGTCTGTTAGGATTATAAGAAGCAAAATAATACAACATAACATAAATAGTTTGATGTTGTAAGAAAAAATCTGCGCTCTTAGTAATAAAATTAATATTTTAAAAACTTACCTAGCATTCATAAAAAAGAGGACACTAAAATTTCCACAAACCGCAATAATAATTTCTTAAAAACTGCACGGTAAATTTTGCACAAAACATAATGTAAACTCCGCCAAAGCCGCTACCTAAAATGGGCGAAGCTAACTACGCATGCGAGCGGCATAAATGTTGCTAGTAGAGACTACAACCCTGATCGCCATCTACTACTACAAAGTAAATAGCCCTACGGATCCAGACCGCTAAAATTGCGTAAAAACTTTTCCTTGAAAAACTCATTGCCATTAAGTGGAGTAAATTTAGATCAACATCCGCATCGTCTGGTTTCATATATTAATTTGAAAAAACAACGTGAAATCTAAATAGGTTTGACAGGATCACTGGAGCCTCATAGGGCGCTAACTGATAGACCATCAAAAATAGTTAAAATAGTTCCACCTATATCTTTAGGCTCTTTGATCTGGATTTTGGGGATTTTTTGCATTTGAAGACAACAAAAAGTTTAATTTACCACAGGAAAACACAAATCCGAGGCGTATTCATCAGCGAACGCTAATGTTGATTGTTTTAGATAAACATGAATTATGCTATCGCGACTTCAAATAAAATTCAAGCTGTGCTCACAAACGAATACCCTTATATTACATTAAATTTGTAACGGTTTGGTAAAAACTGTCTCTGCGGATAAGCATCTCTATTAACAATACAAGAACTGTTTAATTTTTAGTAAAATTCTATTATTAATTATAAAATAAAATAATATCAAATCAAATTATCTTGAATGTACTTCAAAAGCGTAGTTCTCAGCAGAACAACACGAATTTTACATTTAAATTGTAAAATTCGATGATTTGCAGAATTGTAGCAAAATTTATTAATTAACGTATAATATCTGACTTTAAATTAATTTCACAGAAGCAAAGTTTGGAAAATTTAAAAAATACAAGAATAACATAAAACACAAATTAACAATTTTGCACTA